GGACAATGATAGCATAGAGATAGGTTGGTGATGTTTGTATAACAGCGTGAATATTTTTTTCTTTTAAACATATTTAAAATTCATTTACTTTTATTTTATGTGTATAAATGTTTTGTCTGCATGTATGTGAGTGTACCATGTACATGCAATGCCCGAGGAGGCCATAAGAGGTCGTTGGATCCCCTGAAACTGGAGTTATGGGCAGTTGTCAGCCATAACTAGCAACTGGGAAGTGAACCGAGTGCTCTGCTAGAGCAGCTAGTGCTCTTAACTGCTGAGACATCTCTCCAGCTCACAATGTAAATGTTCTTAATTCCAGTGGCCTATATCCTCCAAATTCATTAAAATGAAATCAAGCCTAGAGGCCCAAACCTGTAGTCCCAGCTGCTCAGAAGGCTAAGGCAGGAGCATTAGTTGGTCTTAGGAATTTGAGAACAACTTGGATAATATAGTGAGACACCCCTCTGAAAATATGTTTATTGTTTAAAGCTGGGCACACTGGTGCACACCTGTGGTCTAGCGCTCAGGAAGTGGGGGCAGGAACAACTCAATTTCTTGGCCATCTTGGGTTACATACTTAGTCTCTGCCCTCCCCCCAAATTGGTTAAACTAGTAAATAATTTTATGTATATAAAACACCACTAAACCAAACAATTTCTGTCTCACCTATGACCTAGACTATTTTGTTATCTCCTTCCTACGTGACTTATTTCGCTACTAGGTCATGCAGGTGAGATGGTTTAGAGAGTAAAGGCACTTGCCAGCCAAGCCTGATGATCTGAGATCAATCCCTGGGGCCTAGATGGTGGAAGGAGAGAACTGAGTTCCACACATTGTCCTATGACCTCCACATACATGCATAGTGTGACCCCCACCACAAATAATAAAGTGTAATTATTTTAAAAAAAAACCTTTCCCATAGTGCAGCATCAGCAGCAATGTGGATATATTGCAGGTTCTTGAACCCTACCCCTCTGTAGCCTGCTGTGGGGCTGGTATCTACATCTTTAATTTCCAGGGAAACCTTATGGGGTGGATTACAAACCACACTTGGGAGAAATAACTTCTTTGTAGTATCTTTTGCTTTGTTCTTTCCTTTCTGTGACCCCTATCCCCACCCTGCCCCAACTGGTCCCCATCACCTCACACCTGGATTATAGCACCAGCTGGCAGCCACTGGCCTTTCCCTGTTCCAGCCATTCCAGCTGCAAGAACCCATGGTCTACAAATAACTTCTACCTCTTATCATTTCCCTGCTCAGAACCTACCATGGCTCCTTGAGACGTCTTAGATGCTATCTAAAGGCATTTGGCTGGAAGCCAGCCAAGCTACCCATCCTGCCCTTTCCACCTTCTCCATCTTCTCCCATCCCTCCCAGGCTCACTGTTCATTTCTATGTTAGTTCCTTTGCTAGTTTGGACTGGTCTCCTTTCCACCTCTCTACTTTGTATCTACCATCCATTGAAACTGGAAACGGGAGAAAATAAGAAAATTATTGAAATTAGATATCCCATTTCTCAAAGCATCCACCTCCCCACCCCCACATCCAGTCTCTGGCTTGAACTAGCTGGGAAAGCCTTGATTTGGGGAAAGCTGCCTAATTAACCTCTGTGCCTTAGTGTTTTCATTTTCTTATCTGTAAAATGAGGACTTATATTGTTGGGGGTTGCAGTGCTGGAGATTAAACCTGGGGTCTTTCTTATGTGTACTGGGGGAATGGGGTACTCTACCACTAAGCTACACCCTCTCCAAATGAAGCTCTTCATTGCTTTTTTTTTTTTGAGATAAGAGTCTCACTATGTACCCCTCGCTGGATTAGAACTTGCTATGTAGACTAGGCTGGCCTCGAACTCATAGAGATCTGCCTGCCTCTGCCTACCTAGTACTGGAACTAAAGGGCTGTGCCACCATACCAGATCTTAACAGGACATACCTCATTGGTTTGTGGAGACAATTAAGAGTCAGTAGATATAAAATGGATTAGAATTGTGTGTGGCATAAACTAAGTGCCATGTAAGTTATAGCTATGATTATTATTTGTTACGATCTTTTCTTTCCAACAGGCTCCTCTCTAGAAGCCATTTTTGCTGAACCAGCTAACTGCGGGAGTTGCAACCTTGGTCTAGCGGAGTGGGTATTGTAATTATTCAGTATGGGGGTCTGGGTGGGCTTCTCTCCATGACACAACTGGCTTGTCTCCAAAGCTGCAATTGATCCATCCATTCCTAACCAACTAGGAAAGATTTGAAGCCAGGGTTTTCCAGAATAAGTAGACTGATGTTAGCACAAGTTCAAAATACCGTAAGGGATAGTGGGCTTCTCTTCCTGTGCTCTTTCTAGAGCTTTCTCCCTACACTCCAGGTGCAAGTGGCCCTGCTTCCTCCTATACTCAGTCCTTACTGCCTCTTCAGGTGTGCTCTCTCCCAAGCACAACCTCCCCTGAGGTTGTCCGCAGGCTGTGTGCCTTGCCCCTTGTACTGAGGCAGTCCTTTTCTGTAAATCATCTACTCCCTCATTTCTCTTCCTGTATCTTTTCTTTGAATAGTATATGTGAATGATTAAATCTAGCTAATTAGTATATGCATTACTGTTTTTCAAACCTATGCCTATGCTTTTGTGGCAAATACTACCAATGTTTTAAAGCCACACTGAGTTCAGTAATTTTGTTCTCCCCTTTCTCCCTCTCTGCTTCTTTCTCCCTCTTTCAGTAAAGACTCAAAGTTCAAGAACCATGGAGCTGAGGGAGGTGTGAGAGTATTTTGACATTTTTTAAAAGGGGAACCACTGTCTCATGGGACCCGTGGGAACTCTGAGACTAGCACAGAGCTTCTGTCTCTCCGTTTTCTTGTCTGTCCAATGAGGTAAACCTTAATTTCCTTTTTAATAAGAATGTTTTGCCTTCAGGAGAGGTTACAGAGCAGTGCTCTTCTGATCCTTGTGGCCACACCAGGAGGGCTGCCTAGAGGATGGACGAGACAGTAGATCAGAGGTCACCTGGTAAGGTGGCATGCCCTAGTCAGAAGGCTATTACTGTTGTAGCCCATTGTTTTTCCCTTGTTCTGGGTCTAACAGGACCAGCTGAGCCTAGAACCTCAAATGCCATGGAAGTCCAGGGGAGTACGTTTTTCTTCCTTTCTCGACCCTAGCTGGTTTTCTGTGGAAAATAGCAACAAAGCACTGCTCCTGTATGTGAATAACAAACCTCTGAAGTTCCTCTTATCTGTTCTAGTAACCACTGTGGTCTCAGAAGTTGCAATGTTTGTCTCTGTTTAGTCGGGGTTGCCTAGGGAACAAAGTTGTTCTCTACCACCAACTGACTGTAGGATAAGTTTTTTCCCTTCTTGTAGAGAAAGGATTTGATGACCAGAGTTTGCTGAGCTACTTTTGTTATTCTCTCTTCTTTTTTTCTCTCCTCTCCAACCCCCACTCCCCTTGTTTTCTGACACAGGGTCTTATGTAGCCCAGGCTGCCTTGAAATTCTGACCATTCTGTCTACACCTTCCAAGTGCTGAAATCAGACATGCACCACTACACTCACTCTCCTCCCTTCCTTTCTTTTGCTCTTCCATCCTATGGTACTGGGGATCAAACTTTCTTTTATTCATCTGCTACTATTCAGCTGGAAACTGGGGGGTGAGAAATCTATAGATGTGACTAGTCCAAAAATTCCTAAGCCTGTTTTGAAAGGGGAAAGGTTTGGGAGTGGGGATTGGGAGAGGAGAGCCGGGTCAAATTGGGGGGACTCACAAAGCATTAGATCCAAGTTTGTATCTGCACCCTCAACTGTGTTTTCTGTGTGTCATGAGCCGATTGGCAGGGATGGACAATGAACTTGGCATCATGACTAGCAAGGTTGGGATCAGGTAGGGAAACTGGAGCTTAGAAAGTCAGCAAGCAGGGGTGAATGACGTTAGAAGAGTTTTGATGATTGGAAAAAACAGGCCAACGTGTAACTCTGACGAGAAAGAAGCATGTCATGTCGATCTAATTTGGGCAGTGATTGGAGCAAGGGAGTGGGCCAAGACATCTTGGTCACCTTGAGGTTTGTGGCATAGGAAAAGTAAAATTCTGTTCAATTTCATGTGTCTTAAACATAGCTGTCTATTTTACAGGAAACCCAGATTGAATGAAATCACTGAAACAGGGTGACTGTCTCTGTTGGGAACACAGTAGGCTCAGAACTGGGCCAAGATGGGTCCAGTTGAGGATGTGGGAGAAGAGACACCAAATGCTCACCAATAGCTGGTCAAAAGGCAGAGAAATGGAGCCAGGGAGGGGTGATGGTGATAAGGACCCCAAGGTGAGGCAGAGGGAAGCTGGGGTAGACTTTGCCCACATGGCTGGTGGGTACTGAGAGCACTCTCAGCAGAAGTGGAGAAGCAGGGATTGGAGGCATCTTTCTTTGAGTGAGCTGAGGGGAAAATACTAAAAGAAATTAGTTCCACCACTTCACAGAATGTCCTCCTTTTCCTCACCAAAGTCCTCTTAGCTTCTTTGTCAAGGTCAGGGATAGATGGTTATTAGAATGTATTATACGGTGATGGCTGCAGGAGCAGAGGAGGCCCACCTGTGCTTATTTGGCTCCTCTCATCCCTTCACAAGCGCACCTTGCCCTTTTCAGCGTTTGTTGGCGGGGGGGATATCTTGCCAGATCACTCCTAAAGTTGAATTGGGTATTGGTAGTCGTTCATTCTGCAGCCTCCAGATGAAAGTCAGAGGACAGAGTGGGAAGGCTGTGAGGTTGAACCCAACTTCCATAAGAGCTGTGTGATTTTGAAAAGTTACTTAAATTTCCAGAGTCCCAGGCTCCTTCATCTGGAAGTAAGGGTAAGAGCACAAACATGTTCTTCATGTATGGAATACATGGATGACACCATCACAGATGCAGCATAGGCCTGGCCCTTAGCAGGTGCTCAACAGGTGGGTCAGCAAAATAGCCTGCCTCTAGCGGGTGAGGAGCCTCTTCCACCCAGTCCATTTATATTCAGCCAGACACCAACTTTATTTTTAGAAAAAAGAGCAAAGTTTATTGAAATTTCAAACTACATTTGAAAAACCAAAATCCATATCCTGGAGGCATACAGCAGGATAAGGTATCAGAAAGTGAAAGTGTTCACTGTCACAGAGCCTCCTTAACACAAGCTTCCTGGGGACATACTCCCAGGCCCATAAGGGATCAAAACCATTCATTCCCCTCATCCATTTCTTGTCCACAGCAGGATGCCATCCTTTGATCCACCCTACAGTTTCCAACAACAATTAAAAAAACAGAAACAAAAACAAAACAAAAACAGAACAACAACAACAACAAAAAACAAGTTCTCACATGAAAATGTGAAGTCCAAACTGGTCTTCTCTCAACCCCATTCTATGTAGTCAGCACCAGTGAATGGTGGGTTTGGCATTCAAAAGAAGACTTCACATGTCTTCAGTGGACAGATGGGGAAGGGTTGCAGCAAGGCATCTGTGGCCGCATTGTGAGGCTGGTCCCCCTCTCCCTCCCTTAAACCTTGAGTCTTACTTATCCTAAAGAACAAGCTGTATCAATTCGGTAAATGAGAACACTCAAAAAATTAGCCTTATGAGATAGGGGACCAGTCAGTACTCCCAAAGCTGGTTAGGCCCTTCAGCATGTAGGTGTATGTGTGTGTAATACATCGCTACACTAAGATACAGATCTAGCCCTATGGGTATATATATATATGCATTTATGGCTATATAGAAAAACTATGCCAAAACTAACCAAACAGAACTTTGTAAGCGGTCATCCCAAGCTGTAATCCCACACTGGGCTGTGCACAAAGCCATGCATTATACCATATTAACCAACAGAAGGCTGACTTGGCTCAATCTCTCTCATCTCTGCCCCTGCCTGGGCCAGACAGGGAAGAAGAGAGAGGTTGCCTCTGCTTAAAACGTAAGTGGCTTCTTCATAGGAACAGTCATCAGGTGCAGCTGTGGAAGATGTCCATGGAAATGAAAAACAGACCCCTTAAACTTTCTGGAGCATACTGGCATTACATCTCTTTCTGCTTTCTCCTTTGCCAGCTGTAGCTAAGTTGCCCAGGTCCTGGAAGCCCCCGGGGTGCAGTGGCATGAGAGGCTCACTGGCTTGGGGTTACTAGGCCCCATGCAACTCAGTCTCCAGAGACCTGCTCTTTGTCAGGGGTCTGTCACTGGAGTGGACCCAGGTGGCCATGTCCTTGGGACATCTCTTGGCACCAGCTATGCTAGGTGTAAAGTTCTCCACATGAGATGACGCTTGGGGAGCCAAAAACAAACTGGAAAGAACTAGGTAGAACAAGTTGTGGCTCTGCCCACCCTCAGGACAGAGCCACTTACACCGCAGAACCACCAGGGGCTTCTGGGGCTTGTGGGGATTCAGGCACTGGCTCTTCAGGACTCAGCCGGGACTGGAACTTCTCCAGCTGCTCTGGGCTTGCCAGGTTCTTCAGGAGGGTGTTCTCACGCTCCAGCTGGGAGTTCTTCTCCACCAGCTCTCGGATCTGCTCCTTCAGGATCTCCACCTCCTCTCTCACAGCGTACATCAGATGGTTCTTCACAAGATCCTGTGATGGAACAAAGCCATTCCTTAGCCATTATGTCCCCTCTGCAGCACCGTCATGCTGTCATCAGTCTGCCACACTGGCCTTTATCACGCAGCCTTCTCTCAGCACACTGTCCCTTTGTGCCCTCTTCTCCGAAGCACTTAGATCCTTGCTTGGGAGAGCCACAGGATTTGGGCCATGCTAGGGAACCCAGCTTTGATCCTAAGACGTGCCCTCCTCCAAATGCCTAATGACTTTTAAGTCTGACTAGGGCAAGATCTCTGCTAGTTGGCCTTGCTGCGGGCACAAATCTGGGGGAGCCTACAATGTACCCCCTATTATTGGTCTGTTTTACAAATCTTCACCAAGAATATAAAATTGTCATCTCCTAAAACTGCCAACTATACTGGCATCCCCTCCCCTTCACATGATCCAATACAGAGTCTCAGTTGTCTTGCAGCCTCAGTTAGACAGGACACAGGAAGGAATCTTGCTTTAGGGGAAGGGGTAGAGCTTGCTGTACCTTCTGAATTGAATGGAGGACCAGGAAACTGTGGCATTATGCACTAGAGCAGGGCTGAGGGGCTTCTAACTTGCAAGAAGCCCCAGCCTCTGCAGCATTCTGGCTACTTGGTGGAGTGTCACATCTGCCTGGAAGGAGCAGGCCAGCAAAGGGTGGGGTGCTTCGCTTTCTGTTTCCTCCCTAGTTCTGACCCCAGCCCAGGCTCTGCAGAGGCACTGCAGAGTAACTGTATCCAATGAGCTCTAGCCCTTGCCAACTGCGGGAGGCAGACAAATGCAAGAGTCGCAGCTCCCTGCCCTGCAACCACTGAGGAGGAGCCAGAAGCTACCATAAAGCCCTGGGATGGAGGAGGGGTTAAAAGGCAGTCTAGCAAAGGAAGATTGGAAATGCCCTAGGAGATGTCCTGCTAACAATACTCTACCTAAGGTCTCCAAGGGGGATGGGTATCAGGAAATTGTTTCAAGATTCTGGCTAAAGGCTTTTACACAGACACACACAGACACACAGACACACAAGAGTTATGCCCAGGGTTACATAAGCAGCAGTTAAGTCTGGGGATGGAAATGATGCAGTGATGCTACTCACCATGGCCTGCTCAATCTTGTTGTCTAAGGCCACCACACTGGCTCCGGAGGCACTGCCAGGACAAAAAGCAAAGACACCGGTTGTTACTCGGTTCTACTCTAAGTATCAGGCAGTCGGGGCTGAAGCCCTCCACCTGCCAGGGCTCTTCCTCTCTCCCACCTCCGTGGTCCAGAGTTCAAGGCAGTTTGTCCTCAGATCCCCCTCCAGTCCCTGCAGGAAACTGCACTTTCCCACCCCGGCGGGCGCCGCCCTGAGTCCCCACCAACTGGAGCTGCGCGCGGGTCCAGGGGCGCAGTGGCCTGCTCTGGAGCGATTTGCAAACAATGGGGCGCGTGGCTGAAGAAGGCCCTGACTGCCGGCCCAGAAGGTCCGAAGCAAACCTACCCAGCTCGGAACCTAGCTAAGAATCCCTTCTCGACTCAGAAGCTTCCGGCCTTCTCCCAGGCGGCGCACAACCTGGCCCAAGCCCAGCCTAGCCCGCCGCCCGAGTCTCCGGCTGCCTCGGCTGCAGCAGCTGCTTCTCACCACGCAACAACCGCAGGGACGCTCCGCCGGCGGATCCCAGCGAGGTGACCCCCCCCTTCCTGCGTCCCCAACCCCCGCCTCTTCCCAGGATGCTACACCACGGGGAAAAGGGACCCGAGGCGCTAGGCTCGCGTGGAGATCCGCCTTGGAGCCCAGCCCCTGCCGGCTCCCAGGTTCAGCAGGAAGGCTGGGGCAGTGGTTACCTGTTATCCAGCTTAACGGAAACCACATCTCCTCCAAGCAGGGAAGAGAAGAAGGAGATAGAGAAATTGTGCAGCTGATAGACCGCCACCTCCATGGGGGTCTGATACATTTCGGTGTTCATAGCTCTGGTAGCCAAGGAGCTGTGGCTGGGTTGGGCGGCTGCGGGCTGCTAGCGCGCGGCAATGGGTCGGGCTCTGCACCGCAGTGGGGCCCTGGAGCTAGGACAGGGACGAAGGCTGCAGAGAAGAATCAAAGCCAGCCAGGCGCTTCCAGCTGGAGTTGAAGGGAAGTGACTCGAGGGGTGTCACCTAGCGTGTCACAAACTCCACAGCCGCCAGTCCAACCCAGACTCCGAGATAATTTCGGCTCCTGCTTCTTTATATAGGAGGAGCTGGCTGCGTCACATGGCGTCAGGAGCCATGCAAATGAGTCGTGTACTGGGCTTTGTGGCCCAGTTAAACCACATCCCCTCCCTGAACCTTAGGCTAGGACTGTAAACAGTTCAGCACTTTTCTGTGCCAACTGGCGTCTCCAAAGAGGACTCTGGAGACTGGTAAAAACCAAACCGGGGCTGATTTCTAGAAAAAAAAAGAAAGAAAAAAATGCCGTAACAACAGGAGGTAGAAGCGTTCAGTAGAGGGCGGTGCTGCGTTAAAAGCTCTTTAGGTGCCAGTACACATGCTCCGTGGGTTTTGCAATGCTCTCAGGTCACTGGACGCCCACGTGCCCCCCAATCAGGAGTCTCACCTCCAGTTGACTGGCCCCCTCAGTCTCTTGGACACATTATTCACCTGTACGTTCACTCACTCAGCAATGCAGCTGTCCCCTCATCCAGCCAAGCTGCTTAACATCCTGCCCCAGACTCCAGAACCCAATCATTCATCTTTCCTTGGGACATACAGGTTTTGGAGTATCTGTGTGCACAGTTGGGTGGTGGGGATGTGGTGTATGCGCAGGTCTGGATTCATCTGTGAGCGCACATGTGTGGAGGAGAGGGTGTCCAAGAACTCGAATGAGGGGGTGAGCACACAGGAGGGAGCAGTGTGTGGGTGATCACAGATGCCAGCCTTTTACTCTTTGGTCTCCATTCCCTACTCTGCAAAGAAAATACATTCAGCATCATGACCTAGGAACCATGTTTTTATTTGAGGCAGAGTCTCTCTATGTAGCCCAGGCTGACCTCCTATCAGTCCTCCAAAATGCTGGGATTACAGGCTGCACTAACACGGCTTGTCTAAAACATTTTAAAATAATTGATTATTTTTATTCTATTTTACGTGTTTAAGTGTAATGTCTGCATGTATTTAGGTGCACCTGTATTGTGCAGTGACCATGGCGGTCAGACAAAGGCGTTGGATCCCCTGGAACTACACATGGTTAGAGATTATTGTTAGCCACCGTGTGGATCCTGGGAATCAAACACGGGTCTTCTGCAAGAGCAGCCAGTGCTCTTAACTGTTGAGCCATCTCTCCAGCCTGGTGAACACTAATTCTTTTTTAAAAAAAAGAACCAGAATTTTTCTGTTTTCTGTGAACAGCAAGCTGACAAGTAAACTACAAACCAAAGTTACATATAAACTACCCCAGGAAAATAACTCCCAGGTGATGGTGTAACAGTGTAAATACGATCCCTGAGAAATTCGTATTTCTCCAGGTGCTTCCACGGGGAGCACCTAAAGCACTGACACCAGGGGGTCCTCTCTCCTATGAATCCCTCGGTTCTGATAACAGTTTAGTCTACATGTGCATGTGGACTGCTTTTTTCAGCTTTTGTTTCATCATTCCTTTAAGAGATGAAATAATGATATAGGGAAGCCAAAGAGAAATTCACTCCACCTCCCCAATTTGACAAAACTGCAAATAAATCCACTTTTCTTTGCCAACGTGTTTCCTTTACAATACAGGGACACTCAGGTGGTAGGTTATAGACCTAAGTGTCCAGTTACAATGGTTCTGACTACGCATATAGCACTGTAGAGTACTTCATGAAAAGGCCTAATCCAAGCCATAAGGAAATGAGGTAATTGTAATCTAGTAAAAGTTACACGTTTGTATCAAAATATATTTTCATACAGAGGGAGAGGGAGAGGGAGAGGGAGAGGGAGAGAGAGGAGAGAAAGGGTGGCACCTAAGGCTTGAGGTCCTTTCCTCTTGTTCTTTCCTAAGCAAGGCCACCTGGTGGGCATAATCAGAATTGCATCTATAAAAAGCAACCTGGGCTGAGAAAGGGGTAAGTGATGCAACAACCAATAGTGTTTACACCAACCCAGGACTAGAGGAACATTAGGTTCCACCATATATACAATAGTTTGTACGAAATTAAGGCAAGTACCCATAAATCAGTGCTCCACAGGCTGTGGTCCAAAGAAAAACTCTAGTGCAATTATGCTATTGGAAAAGTACTGGGAGCGCTTATCAGCAAAGGAGGTAATTATTTGCTTCAGGATAGTTCTCTTAAACAGGTACCTGGCACTGACACCCTGGCCGAGTCCCTGGCCAAGCCCAATCTGAAGGCCTTGACTTCCTCCTGCCTTTTAGTGCATTTATACTACTGAGCAGTCACCTTTTTCAGCTCCGAAATGGGGCTCCACTGGCGGATTTACAATGGCCATTGTAGATGCAGAACTGACCAATAAATTCTATAAGAAAACCTGTCACCTAAGTCCATTTCATTCCACGTCAGGTGGGAGATAATGTCAGTCTCAGGACATTGTTAACTTGGGGTTCTCTGAAGTGGATGTTTGAACTAAGGTGTAACAGACAGAAGAAAAGTATAGACGGTATTTATAGGTCATCAAGAATGTTATCTGAGGAGAAAAAAAAAACCCTTAAATTAGTAGCTTTGCTGATATTGGAATTCCCTGGTCTATTAATCTACACTTTGTCACTTAGAGTTGATCTTTCATTGCCTTGCTATTTTTTAAACTCCTACTCACCCCCAAACACCCCCAAATTCTAAGAAAGATGGTTGAAAAAGTAGTGTGAGGTGGGGATAAGATGGGTTGGCAGGGGTAAAATACTACCATGGAAAAAGGTCTGAAACAACTGTCTTGACACAGACTCCCTTATGTGGAGACAGTGGCAGAGAAATCCAGGTAGTTTGAGGAGGGAAGGTAAAAGAGGAAAAAGAACTTGCTTACAAAGTTGCATTTGAATTATTCAGTAATTATAATTCAATTTTTAAAAACTCTAACTTTGAGACTCACTGACTATAATGGCCACTACCATCAGTGAAACACTAGTTATGGGCTGACACAGCTGGCCATGCCACAAACCTTGCAGTATAGGCACTGTCACCACCATCTGTAGATGAAGAAACTATGGGTCTGGTTACCTTGCTAAAGATGGCTAATAAATTGCAGGGCTAGGACTGCAGCCCAAATCTACCTGACCTAGAAACCAAGTTTGTTTGTACTACACCATCTCATGGGTAATTGTGGATCAGGGAGTGGGTTTACTGAAAGAACAGAGATTAAGGTAGTTGGAGGGATGGATTGGAGACATTAAGGAGGGGCAAGGAGGAAGAAAGGAGCGAAGGACAGGGGAAGTACCTCTAGGATGGATGCCAGCAACGCTGCTATTCAAGAAGTTCTAAGGCTGACTTTGAGTCCTCTAAGCACAGCCTGCGAAAGTTTTCTGATAACTTGGGGTTGGGAAAAATACTCAAATTGTCTCTAAGTGCCTTAGAAGAAGCCATGGTCATGCAGATCAGTTCAAAACACAGCCAAGAAATTCTTAAAGAAAGTTATGTCAGTCTAAGAAATGCAAATGATTAACTCAACCTGGTAGTTCCAGAAAGGAATATATAGTCACCATGTACACAATATCCCAAATCAAGTGTGCAATCTTAGAATAACAATCATAGTATAGTCAAACTTCACATTTCTGGGCCCCCTTAATTAAATCCCCCACTTTTATCTTATTCTTACTATGCTCAGCTTTTAGAATGAGGTCAACAAGAAAACAAGCTCATACCAAGGATTTAGCTTTTTACAGTTCCACTATTGTGTGGATTCAGCTCACACTTAGACCAATTTCCCTTCTGTTGTATGCCCATAGCTCTGCTGTGTTAAATGTAGGCTTCCTGATCTCTCTTACCAAAGCCCTGATTCCAGGGCTGGATAAAGGGAAAGAATGAACTTAAGTGCCTCTAGAAAAAGATTTTTTTAAAATAACAAGAACAAGGGATATTTGGAGGGGGACCCCCAAACATTTTCTGTTTAACCCTCAGCACCCCAGGAAGTTCTTCTGCTCAGAACAGCTGCACCAAGCCTTGCAGTTGAAGAGTGTCCAGTACATGACACCCATTATGTTGTCTAATTTTTTTTTGAGACAGGGTCTCCTTGTAGCCCCAGCTGGCCTGCAACTTGCTAAGCAGGCCAGGCTGGCCTCGAGCTCACAAAAATCCGCCTGCCTCTGCCTCCCGAGTGCTGGGATTAAAGGCGTGCACCACCACACCCGGCCTAATATTTTCTTTTTAAAAATATTTTTTATTTATTTTTTATGTGTATGAGCATTATGTCTGCATGTATGTAAGTGAAACTGTGTTGTGCAATACCCTCGAAAGATAGAAAAGGGCACTGGATCCCCTGGAACTGGAGTTATGGATGGTTGTTAGCCACCATTTGGGTGCTCAGATTTGAACCCAGGTTTTCTACAAGAGCATCCAGTGCTCTTTACCACTGAGCCATGGCTCCAGCCCCTGGTCTAGTATTTCTGAATAATGTGCTGATCTTGAGTCTTACAGCATCCTTGTGCCCTGAAGAGGCAGACCCCATACATGAAATAATAGCCTAGGATTTCAATAACTCGGCAACACCAACATACACAAATATTTCCAATCTCCCCTTCTTATATCCCACAACTTACAATAGTCTAGACTTGGAGCCAGCGTTGCAGAGGAACCTGCTGATGAGCCAGGCCCCTCACTGGCTCTCACTTCTAGCCTTAATGCCTCAGTACTTTTGGATGAAGCAGACACAGCTGACCCTGCCTCACGCAGGGGTGGCTCCCTAAAGGAAGGGATTGTAATGAGGATGAGATCAACTCTCCTCATTTCAGGAGACCCTGGAAGTCAGTCTATTCTTTGAGTTGGGAGAGTGTCCTCACATTCCCATTGATCTGTTTTCTTTCAAAAGCCAGAGTCCTCAGGACAAGAGTTCTTGCTACTTGGGGTTCCCACAGGACAGTGGATAGGCAAAATCTGGGCAGCAGAAACCTCATATGGGGTATCTGCATGCTGACAAAAAAGGGTGGAGGGCAGGCTCTGGTGGGTGTGGTGGCTGGAGGAGGCAGTGAAGGGGAACATCTTACTTCCCTTTTTATCACACTTGAAGCATTGTGTACCACACAGCCTGAAGGAAACTATTTATAGGCAAGTCTTCCTTATTTTTTACAGGGAATGTTCCACCCAAGGATTCAGCAATACTGCCAGCAAAATACAGGGTCCTGTGTCAGGAGAAGCGGAAAAAGACACAACTCGAGAGGTGCAGGACCAGCCACAAAACAAACACTGGGTTAGGAGCTGGAAAAGGAAATACAAGAAGGATATTGAGTGCCTGAGCATTAGTAGT